TAGAAATAAGTATACTTAATTTTTTTTGTCATCAGTAACAATTCACAAATCAAATGATATACCTTTTAATTGGAACGAGTTATATATAGTTATTAAATCAACCTAATTTGGTTGACAGCCTCCTTTAGAGCCTTAATAATTCTTAATGAAACGTGGTAAAGATAAAGCAAAGATAAACGAGGTGCGTAACGCGAGTGCACTCTGCAATAGATAACCGCTCAACTCTCAAGTTAAGGTTGTTTCAAACAGATATATGCACGGGAATGCATTTATATATGGTGTTTCTTGCCATACGTTCTTATTATTATTTTGAAGTATTATTTTATGTTTTGGGTCAATAATTATCAAATAAATAAATCAGTCGCGCTACAACCTCTTTGGGTCTGGACTTCAGATTTCTGAATATGTTTCATGATCATTTTTCAATCTAATAGGCTCCTGTGCCTGACACACGCCGTCGACTTTTAGGGTCTAAAACATGTCGGTTTCCTCGCGATGTTTTCCTTCACCGTTCGAGCGAATGTTAAATGCGCACATAGAAAAAAAGTCCATTGGTGACCAGCTTGGGATCGAACCTACAACCTCAGGTATGAGAGTCGCACGCTGAAGCCACTAGGCCAACACTGCTCAATAATTATCAAACGAGATTAAAAAATCGCCTCTTCATGCTAATGCTGATGTTAGAAAATGGTGTTCAATTGATATAAACAATTTAAAAATACCTTAATTTTCTCCGCATTGCAGTGCAATAAAATCTCATATGAAAAAGCTTAAATAAATTATCTTCGTAAGATAGAGCCTTTACAGCTGACCGCAACCACGTTCGTAACAAAGCCTCCGTGAACGCAATTGAATGCATAGGTCACTGCAACAGACATGGCGTATTTTGAACAAATATCTTAATTAGTATTTAGTTTTGCACTTTAAAAACATTAGCTTTCAGTTAATAGATTACTTAATGGTCCCATACAAATAAAATTTTCCTTTAACCGTAAGAACGTTCGAGATAAAAAGTAACCATTCCTGTGTGTCCAAAATTTCAATAAGATTTGTTCGCTGTAGTGCTGCAGTGCTCGGGTAATAAACATCCAAGCAAACTTTCGCATTTGTAATGGATTTAATGTTATGATTATTAATTAATGAGTATTAAAATAGTTAATGTTACTAAATTGTAATTCCTACATACTAAATGTAAGCTGAAAAATTTGGTCGATATCTGTAAAGTTTTGGGTTACCACATTTTTTGGAATGACCGTGATACAAATACGGTACGTCCACTTGTTGAAAATATTCAAGAAGGGGGGAATCTTATGAAAACATACAAACAATGAATTTGAAGAAATGTATGTTATACGTACGTAACACAATGTAAATTTTATAATATAAAACAATTGCAACACGCCGTTACAAATGGGATTTAATTATTAGATATTTTAAGCGGACTTCGAGCTTTTCAGGAATAACCTCTTAAATATTTAGTATATAATAAAGTTTGGCAACTATTACCTACCAAGCCCACGTCTCAACATTTGCAATTTAGTAATCTTTCAACCTATATAATTAAACGGTTGCTATATAGTCTTTGCAATATGTCCGAGTCTAGAATATTTTGTAACACATTGTTTTAGCATAATTATGTGAGTTGACAGCTACGACCGATATCCACGGAGATACAAAGATAGACGTTTTTCTGAAAATTCACATTCGTACAATTCTTTAGTAGACAATGCGGCACTCAATGGACAAATAAGTTTGAGTAGGTATAGCAATATTATATTCTCAACGTATTTGATGGCTTATACATTCCTTTATTTAGCGTGCAAAAATATGTAGGACTCCTTAAGCTTTTAAAAAAAAGTATTTGTTAACGTGACTGATATATTATTTTATTTGTCTTGAATTGAATATCAAATATAAAGAGTCCACTACTGAGTACTGACCCGTGTTGTTTTATGCTGTGATCAAATCTGTCCATTCTTTTTCGTACGCCATTCGTGCGAAATTCAGTTCTGCCACACGTTCCTAATTTCATATAATGGTTAGAAATTTATGCGAGTTCGGTCAACAAACATTGTTTCACGGATGATTAGTTCTTGATCTAGTTTAATTCGTGATCTTCCTTGTTATGTTGCTACATTTTGTAGCACGATTCGCATGTACTCAGAGCAAACAGAACTTCCGCGTTTAACATCCAGCTCTGATAAATCGATCTTTATTACTTAAAGAACATATAAATTATTTAAGTAATACAATTTTTATATTATTTAACAGATGGTAAAATACTTTAAACTAAATTCTGTTTTATTACTTGTTCGTGAATCTTCGTTTCGTAGCAATTACAAATGGTATTTTGTATACTTACATACGAAACGTAGGAATGGGTATTATAGGCTATTTTAAAGTAATACATCATCTATTTCATATTTGGATACATATATTCTATAATATTTATTATTATTGTTGTTGTAACAACGATGTTTTTTAATATAACTAAAGTATACATGTAATACACATAATACATAATACAGAACTGTAAGTGGACCTGATAAGTAGAAACCTCCATACTAATCATGTGAGGTCCAAACTTTGGCACTAATTACCTCTGTTAGTGGGAAGAAGCCTCTATATCTGGGATTTGTTCTTTCATTTATCATCATAAGTTACCTCTATAACTGAGACAGCGAGTAAATTGTATATGCATAAACCTCTTAACTGAGATAACATTGTTTGTTTACTCATTCTTATTCTACACAAATTCCACACGTAATCCCCTATTCCCCTTTCTTGAGTTAATTTTGAAGCTTCAGTTACCTTCAATGCTATATAAACAGATGTTTATTTGAAAAATGCCAAAATATAAAATTTATAACATCGAAAAACATCTGATGGCTATACTTCAAAGAAAATAAAATAAGATTTTTATAATTGATACATTCTTTTCCATATTCTAATATTACGTTAAAAATAAAACTATATTTTTGTTGATTACCTTCACGTATGTACTATTTTTTTATTTAAACTCATTTACATACATAACACGTTATTTTATTTAATGATCGCACCTCTATAACTGAAATAACCTGTATTCTCACCTCTATTAATGGAACCCTCTGTAAATGAGACAGAATATTTATTTATACCTGTATATCTGAGACACTGGGTAAGTGGAATACCTCTTTAAGTGAAACGACATTGCAGGTCCCTTGATGTCTCACTTAACCAGGTTTCACTGTACAAGTATACAAGTAATGTAAGTACTAATTGTACGGTCTAACGATGGTAATAGTCGTCAGGCGTAGTACTATGTTTAGTCCACCATAAGGGGAATTAAATTTCAAAAAGGGCCTTATTATATCTTAATATATATATTTCTTGTGTGCGTGTGTATGTGACTGAACTTCTCTCAAACGACTGGACCGATTTTGATGAAATTTTTTGTGTGTGTTCAAAGGGATCTGGGAATGGTTTAGTTCACAAATCAGCCCGGCAGATGGCACTGCAGTCGGTACTTTCATACTTTGCTTAATATCCTAATCGCTTTAAATATCATGCAGGACAACGTCTGTGGGGTCCACTAGTATTGTATAATTTCTTCTTAATTAGCATGATAAAGTTGAAATGTTATTAAAAAGTGTGCGCAATTTTTACTGATGGCAAAGCCTATCTCACTAATGTTCCGAAAATAAGGTTTTACACATAATAGGAACATTAAGTGCGGTGATCATCATTTACATTTAGCAATATTTCAATGTCATGTTTAGGGTTGCCAGTACACTTCAAGTAGATATGACAAACAACACAACGTGTCGAAGCAATAGTAACCTCACTTTCGTTTTTAACCTCAATTTTATTTAACTGGGATTCAATAATGGACAATACAAATCTATTTGTTCACAATTTTTTAAAATATAGAGTTTTTGGCACCCTTAGTTTGAAATCATTTATACCTTATGAACTCGCTTTTGGGTTATTCGTATATAAATCTGCCCTGCGATTCTGTAACTCACTTTTGCTGTGTGACCCGCTGTGTGAGTTCGAAAAGTGAGTTACAGAATCGCAGGGCAGTCCTTAATTAGAAAACTAAGAATACATCAAACTTTTAAATAAGTCACAAAAAATCTTAGTTTTTTATATATATTTATAGAATTAAGTTTGTTATGGAAGAGCTGGGAACCATGACACTTTTATAAAATGGGTTCCCAAATCTTAAAATTGTATTACATGTAGAAACACATTTTAATTTATTATAAATGTTACAATAAAGTTTTACATCCATCGTCGATAGCCCTAGCAAGCAATGATAACAATCTAACGAAAGTTTGCACTTATTAAACGTAATGAGGGCTTGTTGCTGAAGTCTCAGGTCAGTCGATAAATCTGTTGTAGGTAAATAAGATACTGCGTAAGCTTTACATATTAAAAAAAACACCTTAAACAATTAATTATTAAAAGCAGCAAATAATTTTTATAATTATTTGTTAAATATATTTTAATATCACTCACAATGCATAATTATTAAGAAACATTTCATCTTGCGCAAGACCAAGATAATCTCACGCGATGTCAGCTACACCGCTCAGACGCATTGTATCCAAGGGAGGCTTTAAGATTTCATGCAACATTTTGTAACGTCATCATTATGAACTCAAAATGGTATACATTTAACGCTTTGATGGAGTTGAACTTTACAGAAAAACAACGAAATCAATTTACTTCATTTAACCCGCGCGGCTACTTCGTCAAATCTAAGATAAGCCCATATAACTTGCCTATAATATCGCATTTTATTTTTAAATTGGATAACGGAAAGTGACAATATTTTTTTGGATTAAAAAATAGGTCCTTTACCTTATTAATATAAAAAAGTAACTGGCAAGAAAAAGTTGTACATTTTGAATAAGTTTTATTAAATCGAAGTAATTATAAAAATCGTATGTATGCGTATGTAATAGTAAATACATAACTAATAATTTAAAATCTTGATTTCAGTTCTACTGGCAATGGCATTAGCGCAGAGCGGCTACGAATACAATAAACCAGGAAAGCCTTTCGGGCAGAATACATCTATCCGGCCAGGCTATCCCTCAAGTGGATACCCAAGTTCGACACCATCATATCCCAGTGGATCTCAAGATGGGTACCCCGGCACTACACCGTATCCATCAGGTATATCTACGGGAGCTAATTATCCAGGACAAGGACCATCAGGACCTGCAGGTTACCCGGGTCAGTCTGACAATAACTATCCCGGTCAAAATTACCCAGGATCTACTGGACCTTCGGGACCTTCAGGCTATCCAGGACAGCCCGGTTACCCCGGTCAAAATTATCCAGGACAGACAGCTCGTCCTACCACACCAGGATTTGGGCCAGGTTCCTCAGGTTCTGTGACAGGAGCCCCAGGATTTGCACCAGGAAACTCAAACTTTGGACCAGGTGCACCCGGATTTGGACCTGTAGGATCAGGCTTTGATTCGGGAGCGTATGAGGGTGGCGATTATTCTGCTATCCCTGGAGAACCTGATAAAGACTACCCCATTTTGTCGTTTGTTCCCGAAACATCGTTCAGATGTGATGCTCAGCCTTACCCGGGCTATTACGCTGACGTTGAAACTCGTTGTCAAGCATTCCACGTGTGCGCTAATAACATAACTTATGACTTTCTTTGTCCGAATGGTACAATCTTTTCACAAGAAGTTTTCGTCTGTGTTTGGTGGAACCAATTTGACTGCAACTTAGCTCAAAGTTTATATGAATTAAACGCAAACATATACGACTACTCCATCATTGGATCTCAGCAACAAGTTTCTTATCCTGGAAGTCAAGGTCCCTCATATCCAGGTAACCAAGGCTCTCAAGGTTCTTATCCTGGTAATCAAAGCCCTCAGGGTTCTTATCCTGGTAATCAAAGCCCTCAGGGTTCTTATCCTGGTAATCAAAGCCCTCAAGGTTCTTATCCTGGTAGCCAAGGTCCATCATACCCAAGCAGCCCAAGCCCTCAGGGCCCCTCATACCCAGGACCTTCTACATCTTATCCGGATAATTTTGGAAGCCAAGGACCATCATCCGGGTATCCTAGCAGCCCTTACCCACAAGGAACAACCCCGTCATATCCTGGAATTCAAGACGCCTCGACATACCCCGGAACAAGACCCAACCCCAGGCCAGGTCAACAAGGATCTAGTTCATATCCAGGTAGCTCAAACTATCCTACGACAGGACAACAAAACAAGTATCCATCTTCACAAGAAAATTACCCTGGACCGCAAAGTACTCCAGGATATCCAGATTCACAATCGAACCAGGGTTATCCATCGGGAAGACCTTCAGGACCCAGTTTCCCAACTGGTACAACCAGACCCCAAGGCTCAAATACGGCGTATCCTCAACCACCTAACCGAGAATACTTACCGCCTAGAAAATAAGATCACTGTAACGAATTAGCGAATGCATTAAACAATTAGCTTATGAGCTCCATTTAGCCGGAACGAAGACATAACAAGGATAAAACTTAATTACATCAATATTTATGTAACATCATTTAAATTCGTCAGGCGCTAAGTTCTTCTTACTGCCACATTTTAAATATAATTTATTTAGAAAGCCAGTAGAGCACATTGACAAACGAAAGAGTTGTTGCTGTGTATTTTCTTTGTTATCGTGCTATAGAATAAAAACAAAGTATTAAACTTATTAGTCGTAAGTTAAAGCGTATTATATAGTAATAGGTTGATAGTTAATTTTCACACCTTATATATTATCTATATTTTAGTTTCTATACCATTAGAACTGTAACAATAAAGTTACCAAAACTAGTTATCTGTATTAAAGTACAACATTTCTTCTGTATGTATGTTATACATATCTGACTAAATATATTATAATAAATAAATGTATTTCAAGCAAAATTGTTTATTAATCGGTAGACTAATGTTAAGGCATACCTCTAGAAAAGCCCCTACTAAGCCTAACAAACTCCAAATTCTTTCGGCCAAGTAAGTCATTGATAAAATTCATTTCTAGACACTGAATCGGAAGATTGTTTCCGTCAACAACAACTTTAATCAAACCATTATGTGTTCTAACCTTTCTTACCCCTTTTTGATATGTTACAACATCTTTAAGAGCTTTAATCATTATGTAAGAAAGATTATTATATGACATATTCAGGTGTGAGAGTGCCAAATTCCCTATACAAAATAGATGGCCATCCGTGCGTTTAATACAATCAGCTTGGAATGGATCTACGAATGGGCCTAAAATTTGTTCTGCCAATAACTTAGCTCTCATAGAATCATCATTCAACATGGGTTTTTGTTGAGTTTCCTTCTCTTTTCTTGCACTACTCTTTTTTCTTTTAGGTGGCTTGCTGCTGATTTCAGCTGAAGACCGTCGTTCCAAATACTTTAAGTACAGTGATTGTTTATTTCTCAAGTATGTAAAATACCTTTCCTTTTTGTTCAAAACTTCAAAATCAGTTAAAGGAAATTCCATTAAAACATTTAAAATTGAAATAGCTCCATCATCAGTTATGTGGTTATCGGAGATATTTAAATGGCGCAAGTAACGGTTTGTCCTTAAAGCGGCAGCAAGTGATTTTGCTCCTAAATCTGTTATGTGGTTCGAAGATAGATTTAAAAGCGATAATTTCTCACCAACAGTTGACATATGCAGCTTTGATGCTATTATCTCACAGACATCATCATTAATGTTACATCTAGTCAAAGAAAGTGACTTAATGACTGATGTATCTAAAAGGATTGCATAATTAGCTTCATTTACTGGTGTTCTGTCCAAGTGAACTTGCGTTATAGTTGACACTCTCACAATATTACTTATTTCGTGTATTATTGCAGCATTGATTTTAGAGTTTACTATCGAGATCCTCGTCAAATTTTTATAATAGGGAACTAAATATCTCATAACTTGCAACAGAACTCTTGGCACATTTTTAAGTCTCTCGAGACGTATTTCTGTCAAGCAATTATACGTATCGTATACAGAATATACAGTCACTGTGTTAATGGAGGTTGTTAATGAAGGTTGTGTTGCTGTTTCGATTGAGCTACCGGCGTCGTCGTGCTGAACTGGTTCTGGTGTTGTAGCAGGTTCACGTTTTGTACTTATTGCCATACTAATACGTCTTTTCACGCCTTCTTGCTGCTTAAGCGCCTTATAAAAATCATCTAAAACAACATACAAATATTACGTACTGAAAAAACGATTAGGTGCGATGCGAGATAAACTTTTTCTCACAAGACTGATCCTTTCACCCTTAATGCAGACACTATATATCTATTTACATAATAATTCATATGCGAAATAAAAATGGTTGAATGTCTCGTAAAATGGTTGGTTCGAATTGAAGTAACATAAAATGTTTCGTTTTTATAATAATTTCTTCGTCGCAGTACAAAACTAATAGGAGAATATTACCATTCCGCTGAGTTTTCTCTACGCAGATAACGTAAGGGCAGTTAAATTTTGCGCATGCAAATGGTAGAACATTTTCGAAATCTATCAATTCAGTCTTAACGGGTACTGTGGTGGAGTGTGCAGTTGATGTGCGTAGCGAACGGGTGGACCTCAAAGAACGCACGGATCTGGTAGATCTAACTGGTTTCATAATAAATAAAACTACAAAAATAATTGTAAAAATAAATGAGTTTATAAAAATAGATAAATTAATACAAAACCCAATAAAGTCAAATAAAATATGTCAAACGCCCAGTCAAAAAAAACATAGAGCTTCTGAAAATATACGAGTATATAGACTCACCAATGCCTATTAATTATTTATCTTTTTTATTATAATATTAATATAGAGTATATTTCTCACAGTTTGGATCTGCCATAAAGCAGTAATTTTTAAGTTATTTTATTGCTTTATAAAAGCATACCATACCACCTAATAAAATAGTACCTAAAATAGTAGGAGTGCTAATCAAACGTCGTCGTGGACATCCTATAGCTGTAGTTAAAAAAACTTGCGTTCATACTGCTGCAACTTGTTGTAAAGTATATAAAACGCTCCTGTGATGTATAGTTAACGTATTAGCGGATGAATCCAAAATTCTTTGCATCGACGACGCCTTCGAACGTACAAAAGCAGAAGAAGCAATTGTCGCCGGTTGAAACTAGCCATCCTCCTAGTTTCTTTTATTTCTACTAAAAAGGAAAACGCGTACGCACGACAAAGCTCTAGGAATCACGAAAAAAACTGAGCCACTGATATATCGACGCGGTGGACACACGATCGCCGTCAGGTGTTTGTTTACACTTGAAAACTTGAATGCAATTATTGTAATCAAGTTTTGACAAGGAAATAATTTCAATGCAACTGTTTTAAGGCCCATTTACTAATTTCAATGCAACTGTTTTAAGGAGATTATTGCTTTCAAGTTTTGACTCGTCTAAACACAGGCTTGTACGTGCGTATACCATTTAATGGCGCTTTCGTTCAAGTATTGCATATTATATATATATATATGCGTATTGCGTTGGCAAATTTTGCATTCAAGTCTTAAATGTTTTAGAAGAGAGTGTTGGAGTTTAAATATGTAAATATTAATGTAATAATGGCAGGAACACTTGTCACATGTAAAGAAAAAGTTTTAGTTTAGAATATAAAGAACTGTTTGAATTTTATATAAAAATATAGTTTCTGTTTTTTGTTTTCAGTACTTCTATTCTAGACGCGGATAGTGTAACATCTTTGGCTCTTTATTAACATAAATTATTGTTTTTTAAAATAGAGCCTCACCACCAGAGCTGTCTTCTTAAAAAATTAGAACCATCCAACAGAGAGGTATGAATATGAGTAAAAAGGTGTTGAAATTCAGTTCTGCTGATATAATAAAGTTCATTGAGATTTATCGCAGTCATGAGTGTTTTTGGGATACCGAAAATGTAAATTATAAGAATCGTGACGCACGTGTAATGCTGGGCTAGCACCATTTTCACAGGAATTGGAATTTGAAGTGGTCGGACCAAAGGAAATAACAAACAAAAAAATAAAAAATTTTTGCCTTTGTATAGAAGAACTAACTTTATCTAACAAATATGGGTTCTGTTCACACGAAACATCTCAAAGTCATCTTCATTTTCTGTTTGTAACTCTAAACAAAGATTGTTAGATGCCCCGAGAACGTCTCTTCTTGCTATCAATTTTTTGATCCAACACCTTTTTACGAGGTTTTCTCAATATTTCTTGCCTCAGAAGAGCAGCAACGATCAACACACCCTCACTCACTGCACTCATGTTTGCAAATGAAGAGATAATTGCGTAAGAGAAATTATTGTACGTGCTGTTTACATCAATAATAGTTTTGAAAGGAAACTTTTCCCATTGATCAAGAATGTTAAGTTTTGTTTAGACCATGCAACTCATTTATTGCGTCGATATAATTGTATGCTACAGGCAAGAAAGTTGCCTCGTGTAAATGGCGCATTAGACTATAACTTTCTGCTACCAAGTTCATTAAAAAACAATATTTTCCTAAAACAATTTATTATGCATTTTTAACATATTTTTGGACATATTGTATCCCTCCCCGACATTTTTTATGATAACAACTTAAAATACGCTACGTACTTAAAATAATTCCTTTATAAAAGTTAATCCAATCAAATATCTATATTACGCATACCACTAACCATACACTTTAACATTGCTTAAATAAAAACAAAAATAGTCGCTTATTTACTAAATGTAAACTTAAATAACATAATCATCAAGGCAAGTATCTGTAACACAGGGGAATTAATATTATTAATTCCTTGAATTAAAAAAACAAAATCATAATGAAGACTCTGAATACATTATTTAATTAACTAACGTTAGGGACTGTATTTGCAGAGGATTTCGTTTCTTACTTTTGGCGTTTTTACCAGATTTTAACTGAGTCGTATTACTAACTGACTGGCCTTGTAAATACACCCGTTTAGTGTCACTATAATCCGATATCCTTATACTGAGAAGGTTATTAATACCCTTTATTTCTTGGCAATCATTTGGTACATTATTTCCATCTAACACTACTCTTACAAGGCCTCCTAGTTTAGCCAAATTATTTCTTTGGAACAATAAAGTATCGTATACTTTACGAACTGTTATATACGTCAAATTATTATACGCCAGATTAAGAGAGGACAGGCGTAAATTACCATTACAATGTAATACTTTATTAATATAATTTATATTACTGCTGTCAAAGACGTCTACAAAATCTCCTATTTCTTCCTGAGTTAACTTTTCAGCTAATTGAGTTATTGTTTGACCTGATTTATTAATAGATTGTTTTTTAATCTTCCTTCGTTCTTTACTTTCTGATCCACTTATCTTTTCTTCTTCGCGTCGAGAAATCAATAGCTGCTCATTTTTTCTAAAAGCTGCTATTTTCTTTATTAAATACTCAAATCTTCGCATTTTGGCACAACGAACCTCTTCTATAGTTAGAGGAAATATTATTAGACTATTTAGGATAGAATCTGTCCCCATATCCGTAATTTTATTACTACAGAGATTTAAATGTACTAAGCAGCGATTTCTTCGTAATGTCTCCCCAAACGCTTTGGCACCTACATCCGTTATAGTGTTAAATGCTAAATCTAGCGTAAGCAAAGTTTTTGACGCTGGTTCTCCCACATCGAGTCTTTTGGCAATTCTGACGCAAATGGCATCATTGATACATAAGCGACGTAGAGACAGATGCTTCAAATTACATGGACGTTTTAATAAAAGATCGTAGGACCCCTCTGGCACATAGCAATCTTCTATGAAGACTTCAGTAATGTTTGAGTGTGCTAACAATTTGCCTACTTCATAGAGTGCGGGTAATCGCAAACCTCGTTTTCGTATTGTAATTTTCGATAGCGAAGGATGAAATGGAACACATAGAGAAATGGCTATGATTAATTTCCTTGGTATTTCAACAGGTGATCCAATTATAGTTATTTCCACTAGACGTCCTTTGGTATCATACGAAGCATTTATAGGAATAAAACTGTTTGTAAATTTGTTAAAATTTAAACTACTCTTTTGACTCGTCGACTTGTAATCTTTTGCATCTACTTTATTACTATCAGTGTGGTGTGTAAGAGATTTTGAATGACTGCAGTTGGCGACGCTCGTTGAAATATAGTCATCTAAAAATATATCATTATAAACTATGTACCTACCAAGACATAAATAATTATCTAAAACATTACATTATAAGCCTCCTAATAACTTAAAATCCAAGGCTCACTACTGACACATTGACTACAAAAACTTATTAACTACCTAAGAGAAATTGTTAGGCTATAATACCGTTTTCCACTCACGGTGAGTGTGAATTTTTGGATCAAACAAAAACAAAAAGTTATATTGTAATTCGGAAGTATAGGTTTTTGGTTCTAAAATACTCTGGTAGTAATATATGAAAAGATTGAGAAATTATTTCTAAGGCAGCTAATATGAGAAAGGTTTTTATACATTTTATTATGTAAGTGATTAGTATAACCTACCTCGTAGGTTCCGAGTAACATATATTTCGTAAGGTACTGCAAATTCTTCACAAATCCAGGGAATAAAAGCATCAAAGTCTAGAGGTTTTGGTGCAGAAGCCGCAGATTTTATTGACACTCTTTTAAGGTCAGTTAATTGTTTTATTTCATTTTCTTTATTCATTTTAGATGATATTGACACAAAATGTTTGTAATTAATTTTTGAAAATGCCACTGCAATGACGGACGCCGGAGCTATTGTCAAGCATAGAGGATATTAACTTCATTCAGATTCTAGAATAATAATGAATGAATGTTTGTATTTCGCTTCTAATTGAATACTTAGCGGGCCTTTACCTACTATTTGTTTGTTTTGTGTAAATTAAATTTTTGGTCATTCTTAATGATTCCCAAATGCTCACGGGCCACTGGCAAAATCCATTTTTTTAAATAATCAGATATTTCATAAAAAGATTCTGGCCTATTCATTTGAGTCAAAGATTATAATATTTTAAGTTATCACCTAAATAATATTTTAACAACTTTCAAATATGAAAAATTCATTTATATTCTTTGTATATTCCTTTAAGCAAATTCTCATAATTAACAGTAATAATTAATGTAATTTGTCATTACAAAAATATACCAACCATACAAATTTCCACTTGTATTATATACATACTTCAGTCTGTGGCTTTATTGAGTAATATAATCTCTATAATGGTGTTTTATAGAGGTTATATTACTGTATTTATCTGTATTTGTAATATTTCTTCTAGTCTGTGTCCTGTGATTTATTTTATGTTGATTCAGTTGATCATGCAGCTTATGAATTTTTGAATTTTCATTCATTATCTTCAATAAACATTCTTATTTTCAATTGAAACGAGTATTAGTTTAAAAGTAGTAAATGGCTTCATATGTGTAAATAGAAAAAAACGTAATAACAACAAAAATATTCGAGTGATGCTGGTGACATAAGTGAACTGCGTATCATGTAATTTTTATAGTCTAATTTGTGCATTGGCTTCTATTTATGAATCAAGAAGATATTATAATGTACGTATTTTTTGTACTTCGGCCTATTTTCTAAAAAAATCCATATGATTTTTAAGTATAAAATATAAGAAATGTAATGTCAAGGTTCATTACATTTACATACTGTATATTTTGTGTAGCCCATAGGAACTTTTCTAGCTCTAAAAAAATGAAACTGTTGTTGGTTAAAATGATAGTGTTTCAAGCTTAATTAAGAAATTTACTGTGTCAATTAAATATAATAATAATTATAATTGTTGTCTGCATTCATTGAAATGCAATTTCACACAATTTCTGCTGAGATTGATTGTTGCAATGTGTATGAGTATTCAGTGAAAGTTCATGCATATTGAATATCAGTAGTGATGTGGTGAAGACTGATATGATGTTATTAATTACAAAAACTTGTACCATTAAGTACAAGTAAAGGTTTCAGTGAAACTTACACAATTAGTCATAATGAGAATAATTATGAATTTATCATATTATGCAAATGGATTTTCTATAATTTTACATAATTCTGTAGTTTTTAATTATAACTGTTGAAAAATTATAAGTATATATTATATATTGTGAAAAACATTTCTTATAGATGATTTAAATGTGATGCATTATGAGTTGGCTCCGCAATACATCAACAATGCTTGCCCGACAACTGTCACGAACATTAGACCCTCGGCATGATTATGAGCCCCAAGCATGCTACAACTCATTCTGTAAGCATTGGCAACAAGCTCATGATATTATTTTGAAGTCTAAGGTAATTTTTTATATAAGTTGTTTTACATCTTGTAATGAAACAATTTTCCTTCCTTTAATATAATATAGTTAACGAAAATAGCCTAAATTGTGATACATTCTGTAATCCTTCATAATATCATAAATATAAATATATAATAATATCATAAATATAAATATATAACAATATCATAAATTCAAATTTATAATAAAAATATTCTGGTATTCTAAAGATAGGATAAATCTTTATAATGTTTAAAATAGTATTTGTGTATAACATAGTTACTTTCTTTCCTTTAACTGAACTAAGCCAAGTACAGTTAACATTATTCAAAATTAGAAAATTTCATTTTAATGTACACATTTCTAATTTTTCCTACAATGCAGATGATAGAAGTGTGAAAATTTTATCAGGAATTTCATAAATGACATAATTATAATATAAATTTATATTATATTCTTACAGCCACAGCACTTACATGATGATGTATTAGGAGTTGTTAATCACTTAGAGCAACTGTCTACCCTTCTTGTATTAGAGGCGAGAGCAAGAGAAATCAGTACAACTCAAAATCCACAACCATGCTTTGAATATCTGCTTAGTGAGAATGTACTGGATAAATTATATGAATGGACTATATGTACTGGAAAGTAAGCATTTGATCTCTATTGTTTTAAAAGTATTTGATAGATTTTTTTTTAAATGTCCTTAAAGAAAATTTTGTTTACAAATATTAAAAAATAGGTTAGTTATGGATTATAAAAAGTTGTGTTAAAGTAGTTATGAGATCTGCCTGATTCTTTAGGTAAATAGATTCTTGACAATCAATCATAACAGTTTTTTTAAATAGAACTCTGAAATGTGATTGTGAATGGTTAAATAATTAAAACAAATTCAACCATTTTTCATAAAATAAGCCAGCTAGTATTGTATGTCAAAGTCTAATCCCATATTTCTTTAACAGTTGTTTATCAGAAGCTGGATTTCACAATAAAGCATATGTATGTTAATTAACTAAGGCAAGGCTTATCAGCATTACAATTTCCTGTGACTCATTTGTTTAATGAACTCATGATATGACCTCTACATAATATGTATATTATCAATAACTTCCTTGACCTAATAAAATAAATATTCAATACAGCTTAAATGAAGAAACAAATGCACCAAAATAAAAGGGATCTATATATAAACTTATCCCGTTATTAATAAACAAATTAAACTAATCCAGGCCTCTTTTAACTAAAGAAATCTTCTCTTCTTCTAACTAAAGAAGTTAGAAGAGTTAGTTAACAGGCCAATTGTACGGATTCATTTTTTCTTAATAATAGGGTAATATTTTTTTTAGTTCTCAATGATAATTTATTATTTAACCGTCTTCACAGTATATGTTCTTTTGGTCATGTCAGTGCATATAAGGTTTTGTAACTGAACATGAAAAATTTATAAGAATTGTAAAATATAAAAACTTGGGTATATATGTACATATAAATCAGACAGTTTCATATTTTCTTTTACCATTTACAAAATATAAAGCTTATTAATATATTATCAGTATATTATCAAATGACTGATTAAATATAAGTGAAGAGCAAAATTAATCTCTCAATTGGATATTTTGCAGATTATATTGAATTATTAGGGTGATGAATTTAAACAATATTAATATAAAATGTGAAGTACCACTACCTCATTTACTTTTATAAAATTTTATTTTGTCATTAGGATGCAAACAGTAATAGATAACCTACATTTAAGATGAATATTATGAAATATAATGATAGTTCTGTGAATGACTCGTTAACACAATAACAATAAAAACAAACACTATTTATTGCTGTTTGTAGATTATTATTGTGAGACGGTGTTTGCATTACATTAATATGACTTATAATTCCTTTTTCATCTTATTAATTGATTTATAACTGTCACATATTTACTAATATCTTAGCTACTTACAAAGTTGTTTATGACATTTTTAATTTGTTACTTTGGTTATTTTGGGTATAAGTTTTGGAATAAAGTACTCATCCAGGTTGTTAAAATAGGCATAAATAGATTGTCATGTCGAGTAGAGTATAGAGTTGGGGTTGTAGAGTTAATAGTCAGAAAAAAATTACTGCTCATTAAATTAGAATTGAAAATAAGTAATGTTTGTTTTTATTACAGATATGAAAATGCCTTAAGATTGGAACAGCTGCGGCTGTATGGGCATCTCATAAGTTTTTATGGATCACAAGTATGCAATATAATTTATTAAACTTGTTTATGATGACAATTATATTCTGCTTCACACTCCACAAATATTTCAAATTTATATAACCCTTTCCATAAAAATATAAGACATATTTAAATAATTTACTAATTAGCTTTGAATTCAAATTTATTTGCACAACATCTCATTAAGAAAAATTTGTTTCACAATTTCATACTTGTTTTGTTTTTTGAGTATCCAAGTATATTTATGACATATATTTTTGTGTGATTTTATTAATAATGGGCCAAACATATTTATAATTAAGAGGTTTATTAAAAAACTAATTTCAGGTTGTAGCAGCTGAACCATTTTTACGTCCACTTCTGAAATTATTAAGCGGCTTCAGGGATCAATTGGCGCCGCCAAATCTAGAGAGTAAGTTGTATATTTGCGTTATGTTAGTACGAGGGCATTAGGCCAGTCATTATAGACATTCGAAATCGAAAATTTGATAATAATTCCAAAAGTTTTCAAACTTCGGTCAAGTGAATGGTACATTGGGACGACAATAAATCTCATTTTGCAACCTTGTCCGCAGTCCGGAACATTGTTAAAATTGCAATTAAATTAATTTTTGCTGTATGGTCGTGAAAAAAATTCCAAAAGTTCTGCAAACTTGCGGAAGTTTTCGATATAATATTTCATATCACGTATAAAATTTGCAACCAACCTAAGTGTACGGAACATTTTTTGTTATTTGACCAAAACTTATTTTTAACAATGTTCCGGACCGCAGAGCAGGTTGCAAAATTTTATAGTTTGTTTTAATACCACTCCCGACCTTACATCAAAATTTGAAAACTTTTGAAATTATTATGAATTAATTGTCTTGACTGACTGGTCTACATGCCTTTTAAGTTCTGTCGTTTCCATATTTCCCGGCAATTTTGAATTTGGAACTGTTCTATATTCGAAAGTGTTTAAATTTTGAATCTTAAAACAGTTGAAAGTATTAGGATTAATGGCATTGTTTAGTCACAGCGTCGATTGGAATCTGTCAGGTTACGTACGAAAATGAATCTTTCTAAGGAAAATGTTCGTGCAATAATTTTCTACAACTTAAGAAGAGGCCTGACACGGCTTCAGTGTTTTGAAGAGCTAATATCTGTGTTCAGTGATGAAGCCCCATGTCTGCGGACTGTCGAACGCTGGTATTTAGAATTCCAGCGTGGACATACTAGTGCTAGTGACAGATCTCGCGAAGGACGCCCAAAATCCGCCTTCACTGAAGAAAACATCATTGCTGTGAGACAACTAATTCTCGAAGATCGTCATGTGACGTATCAAGAGATAGAGGCTCTATTAGGCATCTCAGGGACAACCATTCAGAAGATCTTGCATGAAGCACTTGGTGTGAGGAAGTTAGTTTGCCGTTGGATACCGCATCTGCTTTCCGACGATCACAAGGCGGCCCGCGTCAGATGGTGTAAGAAAACTCAGCAAAGGTTCAACCGAGGAGAGTCAAATCACGTCTACGACATCATCAGTGGTGACGAATCTTGCATCTATGCCTACGATCCTGATTCCCAACAACAATCTACAATCTGGGTCTTTCAAGACGAGCCAAAGCCGACTAAAGTCGTTCGTTCTCGAAGCACTTCAAAGAAGATGGTGGCCACGTTCCTTGGAAAAACCAGCCATGTTGCGACTATTGCACTTGAAGATTGTAGAAGGGTTAACGCAGAGAGGTATACCACAGTTTGTTTACCACATGTCATCGCCAAACTTCGAAAATCTAAATCAAAGCGACGCATCATCCTGCACCACGACAACGCAAGCTCACTCAGCGCTCGTCAAACAATTCAGTATTTGAAGCAGGAAAAAGTAGAAATTCTTGACCATCCTCCATACAGTCCTGACCTAAGCCCTAACGATTTCTTTACATTTCCAAAAATTAAGAAAAGTCTTCGTGGTCAAAGGTTCCAGTCCGGTGAAGAAGCAGTCGACGCTTTCAAGTCAGCCATTTTGAACACCTCCACTTTAGAGTGGAATAAATGTTATAATAACTGCATTTAGCGAATGGAAAAGTGTATTAAGCTACGTGGTGAATACTTTGAAAAACAATAAAATGTACTATAAGGTTCTAGTTGTGTTTTTTTCTGCAAACGACAAAACTTAAAAGGCATGCCTCGTAATATGGCAAAACGAAAAGTATTTTATTAAGAACAACGTTCTTGTACGTTGCAAACGTCACTGTCAAGTTATCTTCTTTGAAAGTTTCATTCTTTGTTTGCGTAATAAAACTTCTTTGCAGGTCAACTTGTAACGGTACTCAATCAGCTATGTATAACGTTGATGCAGAATCTGAAATTTGTCGATTTGTTCTTCTTAACTACGCACACGCAAAATGGATCGATCCCAGAGTAAGTTACAAATCTACTTATTGTCTTTATATTATTGATTTTTTTTATAAAAAAGATCGAATTTTGAATTAATTAATGGCTGACAAAAATTCTATTTATTAGATATATCGTTACGGAAAATTCAATATTTATATTTACTTTAAATCTTATTGTGTGCGAGTTTTCTTCAAACACCCTTTTATTGCGGGCGTCGATGACAAAAATGTGTCATAACCAAGGCTCAAAAAATATACTTTCTTCTATATTATTAAGAAAGCATCAACCTGTTGACGTATTTTTAACGTAATTGTTAGCATTTATCAATTGCTCTATAAGTCTCGTTTGTGCCCCGATCCTGCCTTGCGATTCTGTAACTAACTTTTCGAACTCACACAGCGGTTTTCGCAGCGGCGGATGCGCTCAAATCAGTCGTAAAGCTGTCATTTTACGATTTGGCATTCTGATAAACAATAAACTACAAGCTCCCTCCTTATCAGGCCTCACATTTTTAAGCACTTATTAGCATTCCTTTCCTACTAATTGGAAACAATTATGGAATTTCGTTCTCCACTATTTGGGTGTCGTAGTGATTTTCTATGCATCATTAAATTTCCTTTTTTTACAGGAATTAGATTGCGGAAAGTAAACTCACTTTCAATAAATTTAAGTTAATTTTTTTTTGGAATCTACAGCAAAAGGACCGGCATTATGGGAACTAATATCATTCTTATTTGCTGCGCATCATTTGATTTATTTACAATATTATTTAAGTATCAACGTGATTACTGTCAACCAATAATTACGTAATTTCTAAGTAAAACGTCGAACGTATTACAACAAAATAATTGTTTTTTTGCACTTAGCACTGCTTCGACCTTAAATGCCACGACGACTCTCTTTCCGCAGACTCTTCTTTTATCGAACAGGTGGCAAACACAGCGGGTAAGTGACACCACGGCCCATGTACACTCAGTGCCAGAAGTGCGTTGCCGGTTTTTTAAGAATTTGTACGCTCTACCCTAAGTCGAATTGGTTTACTCTAATATAGCATTAAATATCAGCTAATTAAGTTAATTGTTTTATAAATAAATAATACCTATTCTACTCCTCTGCCATTGTGTCCAGGGACTTTTTCTATCTCTAAACTTCACTTCACATCACACGTCTCGCGAAATACGCCCCGGTTACATCGGTAATATTTTTGTTTACAATATTCATGGGCGAGCCGGGGCGCAATTCCTCGCGAGACCCGTTCTTTCAGTTTTGTTTGCCGCCTTAATATATTTAAAAATAATTCATTTATACATTTCAGGTTTATAATAGGCCAGTTGTTGTTATCATCAGTGCACCGCGAAGGTTCTTGCGGCTCCGTTTCCCGCGATGCTTTCCTTCTTTGTGCAAAGATGTCTGCTCGTTCCGAACAACTCGCTGAATGTTTGCTCACGGGGAATGCTTGTCCAATACTTGCTACTGGTGAGTTTATTACACGATGTTAATTGGTTGTATGGTTCCTCAAATCCTTATCACTCTTGTGACATTTTAAATGTGACGAAAAGAGAAAACATACTTTGACGTTATTAAAAAGACACATCTTAATATATATAAATTACGTGTCACGTTGTTTGTTCGCTATGGACTCCTAAACGACTAAACCGATTTCAATCAAATTTGCACATCGTGTGCAGTTTGATCTAACTTAAAAGATAGGATACCTTACATCTCAATTTATAACCGCAATATTATTTTATTGCAAAATATTTGTTTATTATTTGATAGTCACAATTCTAACAGATGGCGCTGTGTTTAAAGTACCGACGTTTCAATTAAGCTACAATTTAATGGCATAGCCACCAAAAAAGCATGGTGGTCCCTATGACTGGTATTCTCCTACCGTTTCCCTTGAATAGTTTGCTACTATGTAATATAACTAAAACCTTAGCCACAGCAACGCTTGGCCGGTCTGCTAGTTTACTTATAAATTTAATTTACATTTTGTGGCACGATCGACGGAAAGAAAAGGACTTTAATGCAGTATTCAAATTATCTATATTATTATTTTGTTTGTAGCTATTGAGACTGATTCAATATGTTTTTTTTGTTCCTGGCAAACTGCAAAATATTATCAATGCATACTATTTAATGCTTCCAGGTCTAAGTGGTCTGTATTCCCTTCTCCCTCGCACATTAGGGGAAGGCATCCTTCGTCTCACACCAGATGACGTCAACAAAGTGCATAAGTTGACGTTGTTCATAGATTCGTTGGAGTTTTGCAATGCTGTAGCACAGGTAATGAGATTTTTATCATAAGGAAATCCAGGAATACTATTTAGTATCAAGGTGAAGATACAGTGTTTTTGTGTTCTATTATTTAACTATGTATAGAAAAATAAATAAATATAACTTTCCAAAGAATGTTCATATTAAGTAATGATAGAATGATGATCTGTTTCAATAAGGTCCATGTTCTAATTTGTATCTCATGTCACAATCTCATTTTCAGCACTGTCAAAATTCATACAGATGATTTGACAGCTGTTGAAACGTGAATAAAACTTATTTTATTGACACTCTAGAAAACGTACCTTAATATTTAGGGGCCGTTCAAGTATTACGATTTACTGCCATTTATCCCCCCCCCCATCTTGTCAGCAAAAGTAAGCAAAGCTCTAAAAAAATTTAGTACATAAAGGTATTAATTTTTTGTAGCAATCCTCGAAAATTCATTTCGTTTTCAAGCATAGACAATGTGTGGGTAATATGTGTAAACAAGTAAATAATGATACTTGAACGGCCCCTTCTGAAAAACATATATTTCTAGGTCGCTCACCCGTCGATAAGAGCACAACTCCTGGATTTGCTATTACAAGGTTTTCTTGTTCCTGTCATGGGACCAGCGCTTTTACAGGTATACGGCCTAATTTGTTCGTGATTTTTGATCATATAACATACGCTTTTCATAATTCATATTGGTTAATTTTTCTGTAACATTTTTATATTTGAATATGCACTAACAATATTTATCAAGCGTAATTCTTTCATTCATTCAACTGCATGTTTTAATGTATCAAAGATCTAATTGAACTGACATGAAGCTTCATAGTTAAAATCTATGCAATTTGCTTTAAAAAATCTTTAAACTGATGGCAGATATGCAACAATAAAGCTAGATAATACTAATATTTCATAAGTACACACACACACATCAACCAAGAAATTATTAGTACAGTAATTCCTCCTATAACACGGTAGCAGAACTACCGCATTATAGAAACGCGTTGTAGGAGTATTCTCTCATAACGCGCTTATATGACCCTATATAAGAAGCCCTAGGTAATTAAGTAAGTGCAATTATTTAATCAATTACCGTCGAAATTATTAGCGTATTTAACCAATTCAAAAGGGCATTAAAGATATCAGAATGAGCCTAGTAGACTAAAATTATAGGCTGTCTGATGGCGATGTGTATCTCGTTCGTATATATTAAGTTTCTCATGTAAAATAATAATATTTTTGTATTGAGAAATAAAGTTCTTTAAACATTATATAACGCGTTATGTTCAAATGATTCATGTTTAACTTTTCTCGTGCGTACAAATTATTCTAAATGTACAGTATACAAATATAACGTGTTCAATTCCCGCGTTTTATGGGGGAATACCCGTGTTATACGAGGGACTATAATCGCGTAATATAAAAATGCGTTATAAGAGTATCGTGTTAGGGGGTTTACTGTATATTGTCTTATTTAGTACATAATGTTCTTCGAATATACAAAAACATTATGGACTGGACTGTAACTGGTGTTATTCGTTTTGGCTATATTTTTATTTAAATTTATAATTTCGTTAATGATCAATCCCTTAAAGTGATGTTCAGAAACTAGATTTAGTGTGAACTCCAAAATAATAATAAAAAAATCGGAATTTCGACATATCACTAAATTCATTACATTTTTGACATACTCGATTCTGAATATAACTTAGGATAAGAATCACGATTTAGCGCTATGTATAAATTCCATACGTCAAAAATGTATTGGATTTTAAAACGGGAGCTTATTAGCTTATCCTATATACATACTATTTTGCGTAATTTGTGTACGATTGTCGCAAATATATGGAAATAAGGAAGCTTTCGTGGTAAGCGCGGGTTTGGTATGCTATTGTTTGAGACGGTTTAGTGACTGTGTGATTTTGTTTTTGTGCTCAACATAAACAATAGTAAAAAACAAGAGTCAATTGCCAAAAAAAGAGATATTTTTTTATATGGAAACAACACATTTGAATATTCGTATAGAAGTACGCCAAAATTATTAAAATGTGTTGGTCCTGCCACCAAGTATTCGTATCATGCCAGTTTCGACTATATGTCAATACGATACTGCCAGTTTCTGAGATCTCAGCAATTTTTCTTTAAATTTGTATAGTTTTTTTACACGCTTTCAGTTTGAATCATATGTTTTTGTGCTTTTTTAGTTACAAATACGTCCAAGACTGCTCAAGTTTTCCATATAAAAAATATTTTTACTTATATTATGTAAACTATTTCATTTTACGCATTGTTTTTTCTTATTGTTTATTGTTAAGGGTTGATATGCTTTATATTAGTTTCATCCATTTCTGTTATTTGGTCCTTCGAGTCGGACTTTTCATTTATTAATTTGACATTCTCACATAGATTACACATTGCATGTTTGTTCTAACGTATCAATTTAACAAATTGGTTTCTTTTTGCTTTCTTTATTTATGATACCAATTAATCTGAACATGTTTTTATTAATTTTCTGAACATGTTTTTATAACATTTCAAAACCTCGGATCCCAAAATTTCAGGATATTTCAAAGAAAACTTAACTTTTTGAATTATTATGATGCTTCTTTGTGGTGTTAGTACGTACAAATGCGTTCTTGTAAATAAAGAAACCCATAATGTTTTTAAAAAAAATCATATTTTTTAATCATTACAGTTATAAACTTAATAGGCATATTAACATAAATGGTCGTAATCAATTAACCAACCAGTCAAAGAATTTTCACATAATGAATTAAGTTTGTGGTCCTATATTTGTTTACCAACTACCGTCACTCAGCCGTCATACCAGCGCCTAACACGAAATACTAACCGTACGACGATCGTAGACGAAAGGGGAAACGTTGCAGACTGGGGCCATCGAACAAGCGGCGGCTACGGCGTACTTTGAGCTACTGATTCGCTGTATAACGCCAGAGGGACTTATGAGGGTAGTTCTACATTTTCTCTTCACCTATGAATATGATGGAGTGAAGATGATCGATGTTCTTTTGGCTCGGCTTGAAAGCAGTTCGCAGGTGAGATAAATTATTTATTTAATTTAAATGTCCTTACTCAAAAGGACGGAAATGGTTTTTTTTTTAATTTTTGTCTATAGAGGTACCTAAGTGTAGTAGAAGCGAGAATTAATAAACTTTTCTTTTGATCACTGTCAAGAAAAAATTGTGTTCCGTCAAGGGATGCCTGGCAGACCATGTGAAAGATCGAAATTATTTTGTACAAGTAATATGCTAGATGAACGACATATTACAATAGTTCCTCTATATATGGCACAACGAAAAAATAAAATATTACGATTTCTTTCCAAATGACTGTTTATTTTTATTAAATACAAAAAATTTGCTCAAAAACTATGCAGTTATAAGTACAAACCTATTCTACTTCCTTTAAGAAAACAGCGTACCAATTCATAAAAGGTCGGCAACGCACTTGTGAGTCTTTTAGCAATGTGAGTGTCCATTAGCGGCAGTATCACTTAACATCAGATAAGCCTTCTGCCCGTTTGCTCCCTGTCCTATAAAAATTTAAATATATTTCAAATTGCTACAACAATCGTTTTTACCCGCGACTATAGATGTTTCACATCATAATAAATATGTAATAATATTTAAAAATATATTTTTCAGCTGTCCTTAGTAACACTCTCCCTTATGGAGACCTTAATTGATCTAAATTGTGAGGACGTCATGATCGAGCTGGTATTCAAGTACCTTTTAAATGGGCATCACATGATCTTACCGCATAAGCACAAATTATCAGATCCCGAAATGTATAGGCTGGCATCTCTGGCCTTCTTGGAGTTAAGCCCGAAATGCTGTAAGAGGCCATTGGAATCGACAAAAGCGTGGGTCGAAGAGATGGCGGCCAGTGGAAGGAAGGTTCTGGAACTTAGTAGTAATGACAGTAGGAGAGTGAATGGAGTACACGGAGATATTGCTATGAATGATCTAGTCCAGGATATCAATTTTGATTATGGGGTAAGTTCTATCTAAGGACGAGCTAATATTTTATAACTATTTATGTCTATTATTCCATACGTAACTTTTTTGTTTACCTGAAAATCGAATCCAGGACTCGCTAACTTAAAGAAATATCTAAAAACAGTTGAATTTTTAAATTTTTACTTCTACTTAACTTTGTTATACCAGATTAAGTTACTGATAAATACTTATCTATAAACACGACATTTATCTATGCAGTTACTTCAGAATAGTATTAAAAATAAGTTATTACAAACGTTTCAGAACCCGAACGAAACCCTAATCAGCAACTATCATGCATACCTTTGCGATAGTCGCTTTGAGATAGTTACACGATCCATTGCGTGCGCGCATTGGTCCTCGAAATACAATACAATTTCTCCCAAAAGAGAACCGAACAACAACACGAATATCAAAGAAGCAGAGCATACGATAGATAGCCTAGTTTCAATTTGCACAAGTGGATATGACACTTTTAAAACGTCAGAAAAAAGTGACACTTCGGAAAAAGAAAACAGTCTCAATTCCTTGACAGAGGAAAAAGAAGGAAAGGAATGTTTGGAGGAAAAGCAACAAGTTATTGATGAAAAGGAAAATGTTAGTTTGAATTCCTTTGGGGAAACTAGCGGGTACAATAGCTTTTTAAAGGTGGATTGTGATGAGGGATTTGCTGAGGATTCGTTTAGGAAGAGTTTTGAAAAGGAACCTGAGGAGTTCAGCGAGGGTGAGGTGCCCGTGGGAAGTTGGAGGGTCAGCACTGATAGTATTATTGGTATGTCACACTTTGATTATGATTAATGTCAACAATTTTGTCAAGTTGGTAAAACATACATAGTCGATAAAACTATTGTTGAAAATATAAAGGTAATCAAAATTTAGCTAATTTTATAAAACCACTAGCTGACCCGGGAAACGTTGTTTTGACATGTATACTATTTCTAGAAAACATTTTTTTGTTCAATAAAAATAACTATCTACTATAATTATAAAATAGGGGTTGATCATGATCGAATTAAGGGCTGTATGTATTTTTGTATGCTGTATCATAAAAAATCTATACATAAAAAATAAAATTTTGGGGTGGACACCCCTTATCATTCCGGGGTTTGAAAGATAGATAGTACCTAATTCTCAGATTTACTGAATATGCATAAAAAATTCATAAGAATCGGTCGAGCCGTTTCGGAGGAGTATGGGAACGAACATTGTGACACGAGAATTTTATATATTAGATAGACTTGTTAGTACCTCAGTACTAACTCGCTTCATTACATATGTAGCTCGAATAATAATAATATGTGGCTGGAATGTCAATCAAACTTATATAAGTTCTCAGAGGTGTCATCCATTTTTTCTGTACGAAGTTTGACAGCGCTCAAGACGAAATTGTGACTGGAAATACGAATTAGTATATATCCCTTTAAGACTCAATTTAAATATTTTAATTACGTACACCGTTCATAAGATTTGATTGGTAATGTCTATGATAAATTATGCGTTCGGTCATTGGTCAGCTTTCACCTTGATAACAATATTGACAATCGCAGCATCCCTACAACCGTCTACTTTCTCCAGTATTTATATATTTGTTTGATTATTAAAATCATGTTTCAGGTCCGCTATTAAGCAGTCTTCTTAGGAAGACGTCGCGTTGTTTAGAATCGGATGTTACGAGCAACTGCCACGTCTCGAGTATCATCTGCAAACTGTGCTCATTTCCATCGGTCCTACTGGTGGCAGTTGTACTGTGCCCCACTTTGACGCCTAATGTACCGTCGTTGTATCAGGTAAGGGTAGTTGCATTACAGTTTTTCACTATCTATATTGGCCCAATATATCCATACATAATATATAGTCCATGTTTTCATCATTTAAAATAATTGATCTGCGTATTTTAGAGTTTTGTGAGAACCAATAGTTTTTGAGTCCAAAATCTTGACATTATTAGAAACTAGCATCGACTAAACGGACGCAAAGTGAGACATTCGATTTTTAAAACCCTTTGAATTACACATTTGCAATTTTACAATTACAATTATATATTCATATTTATTTTAATACGAAATCACAAAATATGTAATATCATGATACTACTTCGTACGCTTTGCTGAGTAATTCACTGAGGTACAACGTATGCAGCTGTACAAAGATGACGTAGGATCTCATCTCTAGGGCGGTGCTCCCAAATACCTCCTTTTTTGACCTAATTCAGCGAAGGGCTTGTTAAGTTGTCAATCTCCAACGTATTACCGATCGGTTTGATTCTCTCTCTACGCAGAGACATTGCGTCTGTATGCGTATTCTACTGAGTGTTATGGATCGAGTGCTCTGAAGAGTTGTATGATTTGATCCCTCCAGCCTCGTTACCACACCGTACGTACTTACATGTTCACGCTTCACAAGACATTTTCATTTTCGAACTAACCAACTAGTCTTCTGTGAGAGATACGTATGGGCCGGCAACGCACCCATACGATGACTGCCCTTTTTGGGCGTCCCGTAGACTCCTTAAAAAAATACTTCCTTGACTGCTTATGTGAAAACAAATAGCAGAAATCAAGGCGCCAATTCTGGTACAAAATTCGATCAATTGTGTAGATTTTTTTTAATTTCGTAGATTTTGAATAAACTACGCGAGGAAGTAGATATAGCGTTAGAAGGGATGGAGAAGGTAGAAGAGTTGGTGGATCGAGCGAGGGTCTTTCTCATACAACGGGAGCTAACGTTAGTTCGGCGTGCGCTTACCAACGACGACAGTGAGTATGAAGAAGCTGTGCCCTCTTGCCTATACAGATGGTTGATTTTAATTATGTTAATTGCTTCTGCGCGGCTGATTTATAGAGGATATTTTTACAAATTTATGATTATTTACAAGTTTTTTTTACTCCATTAAAGTCATGTTATTCCATAACAGTTAATTTTGTCATACCTTCAAAATAGCTTATTACACAAAATAAATAATGCACACATTACCAAAAATAGACATCTTATATAACTTACAATATTATTATTAAAACGTAGTTTTTAGTAACATGAATTTTTAAAATTTGTACAATTTTCATGCATTTATTGATTTTTTCTTCATATTTATTATTTTTTGATGTGCAAAATATCTGTGTGCCGAGCGTGCAAGCTTTTGAGATTGAAATAAAAATAATTATACTTGTAATTTCACGGAAAGTTGAAATTGTAACGAAAGTTTGTAAAACTAATTTCATATTAATGAAGTTTTTAGTTTGCAATTGTAGCAGTTTTAAAAGAAATATGGATTTGATAGAGTATTAAATAATAAGTTTTTCTAATATTTCAGGAAAAGCGCGAAATCCGAATCTTCAGCAAGACAGTTCGTTTCGTAGAAGCGAATCTAAAAGACGCAGTTTCTCATCTAGTCTTAGCAATATGTTCTCCAGGAAGGCACCACGTAAGTGTTTCATTAACACTAAATTCTTGCGAAAAAAAAATACTTATACTAAAAAAAATACTCAAAAAATTACAAATATAAGTCTAATTTGTAAAAAGCAATGTATAGTATAAATACAGTTATTCCCCCCTAACACATGGTAGATTGGTTCCGCGTTATAGGACACGCCTTGTAGTAGTATTCTCGCATAACGCGCTTGTATGACCCTATATAACGCGTTATGTACAAATGATTCTCGTTAACAGGGATTTAAATTGAATATTAAGAAACGATTGAGGACGAAATATGTGCGTCCAAATCATTACAAATTTCACAGTACAGAGGTATAATGTGTGAAGTTCTCGCGTTATATCGGGAATATTTCCGTGTTATACGAGGGACTGAAATCGCGTAATATAAAATGCGTTATACGAGTAACGTGTTATAAAGGCGATTACTGTACATGTTATATAATTCCAATTAAAATAAACTTTAAAAAGGTGCCTCTAATAGATAATAATATATATTAGAGTTGCGATTCCATTGGTTTATGTTTGGTAGTCATAGAATAGACCTAAGCGTGCAGAGATAGACATATGGTATCACATATTATTTATAGATATTGATGTTTTCTATAAATCTGTACTACGTCACAATGCTCTATTGCCAATAGTTACCTCGATCGGTTTTTATCACAGCTTGGGTTACATTATCAAGATGTCATATCACTTTTATGAAAATATTCTAGCCCTACAATGTAGGATTCTTATGGTGAAGACGTGTTCAAATCGGTCTAGTAGTTTTGGAGCCTATTCAAAGTAAATAATATTGGTGTAGACCAATTCTCTTCAATAAAACATATAATATTATAGTATTTAATAAATTATAGATTCTACTTCATTTATATTAAAAATAAGTTTTTTAACTAACTACTAGATGTTGAGGTAATAATGTAATACTGATTAATTGACAGCATCCCCGTCACCACAAATCCAGCCACCCGCGCCACAACTGCCATTCACCCAAGAGTCATACTGGAATAAATCAGCCATGCACCGCTGCATATTAAACGCAGTCATCCTCGACGAGTGGCTTAAAGAATTATCAGCGTTGTGTCAGGAACAGGCGCTCAGATTATCCGCTGAAAGTTACGAACACGAAAACTATATACGGATATTATCTTTATGACTACGGGCGAAGGCCTCACAAGGCACAGTTAAGAAAAAAGTTGTCTTCTTCGAACCAAATTTGGAGACGCAATTGTAAATTTGGGTAATTTATTATAGGATTTTCGAAATGTGAGGTTAAGATTCGAACAATTTTGATACTTTTGTGCATTTTTGTATTCTGGAATAAACTATAATGCATCACAAAAAGTATGAAGTCGAAGTGGGTATAGTCAAATTAGTGTATTTTTTTAAGATTATAATAATTAATGACGTCATTACTTTTAGGTGCAGAAGTAAATGAGTCTTGCATTGGTCAATCTTTCATAGATTTTATTTAAGTAATGACATTCTAAACAAATATTATTATGAACATTTAATTGGTTGTTTTAAAACTAAGCTAACTTAAGATTAAAGTTTTAAATATATATTCAAGTTGCCTTGTAGTATTGTAATTGTTAATAAATAGTGCTAGAGTTGGTGTCAAAGGCTATTATTATTGTCCTGCGGCGACGTAAAATTAAAAAAAAAACAGATAATTATTAAAATTGTGTGATTATTCATAAATACATTTTTGAAGTTTTAACTCATTATACGTACGTCTAGCCTCAGCCGTAACTATAGGTCGATGTAAAATCTATTTCATTTAAGGAAATATAATAACATTTAAAATATATTTTCAGAAAAAAATATGTATAAAATATTGACAATTGTGCTAATTGAAAAGAAAACATTACAAGTTATATATAATGTCGAAATAAAAGTGTCGTTTAATAATATAACTTTTAAATAAAGAACTTTTCAGTTAAAAAAAATTGAAGTAGGGCATTATTTATATTGAAGTGACATTCAGTATAAAAATTTATTGTTTTATTTAATAATTGTGTGGTTCCACATGTTTAATTGAATTGGCATGTATGCCATCTACTTAATTCTAAGTACCTAATAGTTTTAAGATAAATTTAATCGATAATAATCAACGAGTATGCCATGATAGTAATTTTGAACTGTGATTTTGTAATGTTCAAAAATTGGAATAATTTATTGTAAATTTTACTTTTAATACTTATTTTCTAATGTAGATTCGTATCTCAGTGATTTTAGTGCATTAACTAACAGTAATTTTTAGGAATTTTACATTTATAAGAAATATTTTTAACATTTATTTGTATTTAGATTCATTGAATGTCGAAACAATATTTTCAGATGTTCGAAATTCGAAAATATTTTTTTTACTAATAGCCTAATTGATTTTCTCAATTTTGATTGCTTGAGTAATATTCGTGCAACGATAATTTAACGTGTCTTATTATTTTGGTGGTTACGGCATTTTATATGCAAGCGTTTGATACATTATGCAAGTTAACTTATGTACATTTTAATTAATTATTAATTACATAATTAAAATATTTTATCACTTCATTACAATTAATTGCATTTTTTTAAGTAATAGAATTTCTGCCGTAAGCACCATTTTTAATTAATTGACATTTTAACGAACAATTAAATTTAGAATAATTTCGCTCAAAATCTAAAATCGTCCTTTTCCGTCCAAGGATGTATATTTATATGGCACAAATATATTCTTTATACATTTCTTTTATTGTTTTATATATTATAAGTGCAGTTGTAGTTTAGTAAAATATAATGTATAACCTCTACAATAGCCGCTATACACTTAATTAATTTCTATCTAACTTCATTATAATTACAAGCTTCATAGCTATTGAATCTTTATCACCTTGGTAACTAACTAATAAAACCGGAAAATTCCTAATTTATATAGAAAATGAGCTAACCTTTCAAATCTTAAATTACGTTAAAGATTCCATTCAACTTTCGGAAAGGGCAACAGAAGTTGTTATTTGAAATATAATTTAAGAACACTAAATCAGTTTCTGTAGTCTTTGCTCATATCACAGACTAATCTTTATAGTAAATGCGTTCTTATTTTTAGCGGCTGTTGATACTGGTATTTTAATTCAATTAGTGTGCAATAATCAGTTATTATATTATATAATGCACTTATCACAAAATTTTATATTATCTTAAAATTATAACAGGTTACATAAGTATTGTTGAATAAACAATTCACATGTATATTACCGCAAGGTATATAAATTACCTTGCCATTTAAAATTCAGCATCATCAATCTAATATAATTCAATATAAATGTATCATTGTACTAAATTTAAATAAAATTTTGCGAAATCTGTTTATTTTGAACAAATAGCATAAAATTAAGTGACATTACAAAGATTAATTAAAGATTTTAATGCACAATTAATAAAATTGTAATTGGATGTATTACGAAATTTTTATACATAGATTATTATTTATTAATAAAACAAAAGAGTAATTCAGTGTTTTATTTGATTGATAAAGTTGACATTGTTATAAATTTAAGAAAGAATTGAAGTCTTGGTATATCACATTATTTATGTCCTCTGATTTAAGCAAAGAGTATGTCATTTAAGTTTTGTTAAAATTTTCCCATCCTTTGGACATGGTGATGGAAAAGTTGTCTACCAATAATAAATATAAAATCACGGATACCATTAATATTTAGTATACACCCATTACATTATTTTAAATACAATTACAGATTTGGTATAGCAGTGTTGCCAGTAACAAATAGTCAAAAGAAAAAGAAGTACACAAAAATAACACAAGACTTAGACGTACAGAAATAATGTGTAAGTAATACACCAATTCAAAAATGTCTTAATAGCTTTCATTAATATACGTTTAATACTTAGCATTAAATAATCTATTCGCTGTAAGTTTGCAGTTAGTCCCTAAGCTATCTTTCTCAAACTTAATGTGTTTGAAAGAGAACGAAAATAAACAATTACGATGGTTCCATGATTAGTCTTACTAAATTTATACTTTATATTATTTTAAGTCCTAAAAGTAACATTTTGAGTCATGTAACCTGGATGCGATATGAGAGGATTAAAAGTAACATTCTGGCAAAGCTGGAGTAAAGTGATATTACTATATATTTACACAGATAAAAAGACTAGTTTCGATAAATAAGATATAAAGAACAGTAGTTTCTGAAGTTGGATTATTGCTATTATTATACGACTTTCGGCTAGGCTAAATTAAGGGTAAAATTAATAGTCGCGATGACATCCTATAGGTTCGATTATTTTAAAGCATTTGCGCATAATCTCAAGTTAGTTTCAATAAAGCTTCGCCAATTGACCTCTAAAACGAATGTCTCCAAACAATAAAAATAAGAAAATTGACATATTTTTTTTGTTGATTTATGAAATTTTCTTATAAATATTATTTATTGTGAAAAATTTGTAAGCTTTCGTTTCTCTAATTTTGAAAATAATTAAAGTTATTTCAAATTAAAAAAATAAATATTAGTATGGATGAAGGTATAAATAGTTACTTTTTATATTCAATTTAAAATATGAATAAATTTTATTTTAAAATTCGGATCTGTAAAAAATTTATTTAAGGATTATACTTTAGAAACAATTCAATGGTTTTGAAAAAGTATATATTTTTAATCATTAAAAATATTACTCAAAACTAAATGATTAAATTCTTAATGAAATAAATATTTTATTTATTTAGCTTGTTAAAACCTTATAGTCTTTATAGGTTTTCTTATTTCAGTAAAGAAAATTTAATGAAATAATTTGATTATTAAATTAAGCTAAAAAGTTTTCAACCAATTATTATTGTTTACCACATTATTTATACATTAATGAGGTTGCTAACTCTATTCAGACCATTTTTTTGTCAACACTGACTTAGCGCACTCTGCTGATGCATTTGAAAACTAATTCACGTTCCAATTAAGCTTCAGCATTATGCGGCATTGTGCGGCACTGAGTCGAAAAATGCTCTGTAATTGGAAAACGCACATTATTTGATTAGAAATTATAGTAACGGGTGTAATGACCACAGAGTATCTTATAAATATACAATAACACTGGATAACCGAAAGACTTGTATCCAATTCCATTTCAATTATGACATAAAGAAATATCAATGTCATCCCTGGTAAAGTAAAAGTATGTATTAATAAAGTATTAATTTTCAAACTATTAAAAATAAACAAACTAAACGAATAAAAATGTAATGTCATGTATTTTATATTTAAACATTGATTTATAAAAAGTGTTTTTATGGTATACAAACAAATTTAATAAATATTGTAATTTGACTAGCTGTAAAAAATATGAAAATATTGTGCTGACTGCTGACTAATATTTGTTACGTATTATCATTTACAAATAAAGCACTATGGCATCATTTTTAAATCATAGAAATGATAGTTCCGTTTATATAGAAGAAGCTATAACCAAGGATAATGTAACCTATTATAAAATTATTGTTAAAGTCGGTTTTGTGCAGTGGGACGTATGGCATCGCTACAGTGATTTTGTAGAACTTCACGACAAACTCATCCGCGATTATGGCATTGAACGGGATCTACTTCCGCCTAAGAAGGTCATTCGTAACAAAACACCAAAATTTATTGAACACAGACGAGAAGCCCTCAATGAGTACCTTAAAAATGTATTTAACTTTTTGAATTTGACCATGCCTTCAGAATTTGCTCATTTCCTGGACTTCCATTTGTATGATATATTCTTTTTGCTACAAGATTTGGCCAAGAAACTGTTTTTAGAAGGTGACAAAATGTTACAGAGTGAGAAATCCCATAAATTCACACCATTAGAGGTTAGTTGAATGTTAATTTATGTATCTTGCCAGAATATACACACACATATCAGGTCAAAATTGTTATTATAATGTGTTGCCATACAAAGATATAACTTTTGATATAGTAAATGCATTAGATTTTTTATATTCCTTACCTTCACCTTTAGCTATGTTGTATAGCTATACAACAAAATTGGCAAGGACTAATATTTTTTATACAGAATATATAATGCTCCTTTCTATTCCTTTTTTCAGCTCCATGCAATCAGTGAAAGATTTAAAATAGCTTGTCCACCAATGGAAAAACTGGATCAAATGTATGACTTTAGTCATATTTTGGACTTTTGTTCCCAAATAACATCATTGAGTATAGAGGGCAGTTATCAAATTCTTGGCACCAGTAATATTGTGCCAAATGATTTAAAGTTTGATCTTATACCCTTTAAGTCTTTGATGGATTTAAAAATTCTTGGTGTGCCTATGGCCTGTATACAAAGTGTTGGTTAGTATTTTTAGAGTTTTGACTATTAAAGGAAGTTATGGTTTAATATTTAACCCAATCATTGTTATGGGTTATTAAGACACAAGGCTGAGATGTACTTATGGACAAAGAGGTGTTTATATGCAGAAGAGGAATACTGACTGAAATTGTGATATTTTGTTTTCAGGGAGTTTACGAGCATCATTGTGTACATTATCAGTATTAACTGCTACAGTTGTATCTCTTAATGAATTTCTACTAGTTGATGTTCTACATAAGGACCCATCAAGTATTACAGATTCTATGGTAGGTAAATAATAACTAAAAAAACACCTTTTAGACAAAATAGTAAATAAAAAACTAATAAATTTTTCATACAACTAAAAATGGTTTTAAGAATAGTATTTAATAAAACAAAAAGTATTTAATAGAATTAGTTACAGTGTTATCACTGCGACAATTCAACACCGTTATCACAATGTGTCATGCCAAATACGGACCAAACACATGCTAGATAGGTTAATGCTTGTGACCTTTCATTTGATATACTGATTATTAGATTTAGGTTATAGCCTCTTTAGCATCAAAACACTACATTTCGCTTGCACATTCCTTATGCAGTCTATACATATTTTTGGAAATATGATGAATTTTGAAACATTGGTGCTAAAACCCCTGGTCTTTGTCTCAGATTTTTGTATCAGTATCTTTTTTTTAAGTATTTCCTTCTTAATTAGCAAGTAATTTAAATAAATTAATAAGAAACCTAAGCGAAGAGTAGCTGGCACTATGTGGCTACGTAAAACTAGAATCAGAGAAGAGTGAAAGCCCTTAGAGGAGGCCTATGTCCAAGTTGTAGAACAGAAACCAACCAACCGGCTTACCGATTAATAATTAGTATTTATGTTTTTATTTTTAGTGTTAATTTTTTGTATTTCACATTTGTATGTACTAATAGGTATAAGTAATTACAGCAATAAAGGCTTTTTTATTATGATTATTATTAATATGAAACCTGACAATTAACAACATTAAACTATATGTTTTGTTTATGAGTTTTGTTTTGAAAAAGTAAGATGTTTTTACGTTGATCAGATTTAATTCACTAATTATAAACATTATATACTTAAATATTTTTCTTGACAATTACTTATTCTGTTTTCAGATATGGAAAAAATTGACAATCATTAATTTCTCAAGCAATAACATAAACAAAGTTGACTGGGCTATCCGTCTTGTACCAAAGTTGCAACACCTCAACCTATCATCAAACAAGTTGACAGAACTGTGTGATATATCTTGCCTCCATGATCTCCAGGTATTAAATTTATCAATGAATAATTTCAGTACTTGCGATAATTGGCATGGTAAAATTGGTAACATTGTAAAAATTGATTTGTCACAGAATAAGGTTCAATCACTACAGGGTTTTTCTAGATTGTATTCATTGGAAAGTTTAGATTTAAGCTGTAATGTAATCACAGATGTTGAAGAGGTCCAGCATATATGCAAATTGCCTTGTTTAGAATATCTATGGTTGACAGCTAATCCTGTAGCCACAACCATAGATTATAGAGTGAAGGTCATGGAGCAATTTAATGCCAGAATGTCAGAGCTTTGCTTAGATAATGAAAAAGCGTCCGAAAAAGAATTGGATACCGCAAGGGTTTTGCAAGCATTAAGAGTAGTAAAGGAGGGTAAAACTCCAAGTTTCTTGCAAAATAATCATACAAGTCATAGTTTTCATAGAAGTTGACAATTTATGTTTTTATTAGTTAATTATATTTATAAATAAAACCTTAATATAATGTATTTGATACTTTATAAAAGCAGTATTTAGAAAAGCATTCCTTTTTTGACATGGTTTTTATTTGCATAGCATAATGCAATTAATTATTGTTGAAAATATACACAATTTCTGTCTAAAGACTATTACCCTCTAAAAGTATGGTAAAACTAAAACTACACATATGTATATATATATTCTGAAAATAATAAGTTGTTATCCATCAAGAAATTACGTCAAAATCGTAACACTTGTGTTGTCAACTTCAGATCAATCAAGAGTTTAGCGTTCTTTATCGTTTCTCAAAGACAAACATCGTTTGTCTAAATATTTTGAGGTCTTCGTTAAAAGTACGTAAAACGATGGCGATGGTATATACATTTTGCGAGCGTTAATAGGAATAGGTAATCATGACCCAGAGTCAAAATGTATTTACATTTAAGGCAATTTTATAAACTAAAAACCTATTAATTTTGTGATACAATGCAACTCCTTGTCCTAAATTGAGTTTTTATCTAAATATAACTCTCTAAAGTTACTAATGTTGACTAATATTCTAGATTTAGATAAATAACCTTTTTTAGACCGGTTTTGTCAAACAAAAACCAGTCGCAAAGTTGATGTTTATTTGAGCCTATATAATTATAGTGAATATGATATTTTAATGTTTAAGTTATAATATTCTTAAGAGCAAATGTACATTAGCTATGTTTAACCAAATTGTTTCTGGAACTTTAATCAGACAACAAGAATCTAATTGGAGAACAATTACTGACATTATAAGAATCCAGTATATTTTAAGGAAGTAAGATTTTACGTTAGAATTTGTATCGAATTCTAAGTTTATGTTTTATCAGAGTTACGCCCGTCTGTAGACAGCATTACCAATTAAGTAATCAGAAAACAGGCCCTTTTTCTTTTAAGAACTTTTTATTATACACTTGGACTTTATTGTACCTAAAAAAATAAACTGAAAACGGGACTATGTTAAACGGAAACCTTTTTGGTTAGGCCATTTTTTACATTTGCCAGTGTGTTTTTGAGTTTACACCAAATGGTGTTAGCTATCGTTTTTTAATAGTATTATACTTGTGATTTTATTGTAAAACATATGATATGCGTTTTAATAAATATATTTACGTTATTTATTTGTTTTAATTTAAGATTCTTTAAAACCTACAGTAATTTTTATGCCGTTACAAGTTTAATGAAATAGTTTTAGACTGTATAGGGAGCGTTCAAGTATTACGTAACGCGTTTTTTCCTTTTGTAAAACGTTACGATGCGGGGCGGGGATTGAATTACGCGTTATTGTTAATATTATTTTCGACTTACACCACATAATAGTAACTAAAGAGACACAAAGTGGTCACGAAACGTTTTACTATACTTGAGTACAGTACTGTACTAGGGTACTGAAAAACGTTACGGCGAGGTACATGGGGCGTCAATAATCTCCAAAAATTGCGTTACGTAATACTTGAACGCTCCCAATTTGTAAATAAAGAAAATCCCCTTTTACTAAGGTAAAATAGAGATTTCTTTTTTCTTGTAGATGTTATTTAGTATTCTCATTCTATATAAGAATACTCGTAGTTTTAACATAATTTGTGATAAAAATACTAATGTTCTCTTAATATAATTTATAAGGACTCTCACAGTACTTAGAATAGTCGATATACACAAACAAAAAGTCGTAAACAACAATACAGTTAATGTGGTTATAAAGTTAAACGACTTTTAGCTAATATACTTAAAACACACATGACATAAAATTAATTAAATATACTTTTACGAAAGCAAAATATCCTTTGTTGAAATTCTAAGTAGCCTATTAACTAATTAATAACAAGTATTACATACTTTTTATACAATATATAACATTAACATTTGTAATATCCAAGATTCCTTTAGAAATCAGTCTTATTCATAATACTTATGTTATAGAACGTGTGATTGCCTAAGCAACGACCGGACGTCCTTAGGTTTATTTGATTAGGTGATTTAAAGATGGCGTTCAAGGCCAAAACCAAATGTTGATTCAGTTTACGATTATTATTTTCAACACTGTAAGACAGTCGTGGAACAATTTGTAGGGCTGTGCCAATTTTTGTTAGAGATAACGTATTTTTGGCGATTAGAATGATATACGTAGAAGTAAGGATATGGTCGAAATACCTTAGCCTGCCCTGTGCACAAATTAATACTAATTTCCCACGAACCACGCAATAAAGGATACAAACGTATGAAATGACACTATATTTTTTTTTTATAATTTTTTTTCCTTTATGGCTCTGGCACGGTTTGTGCACTAGATTTAAATACGTCTTATGGATTACGATTTTCACTGAACACTTAAAAGAATTTACATCTCAAATTCTTCTTAAGATGGCTGATATGATGAGGCACTGACACAGTACTGCTTTTTATGTGATTCATGTCTATCTTAAAAGATAGATATAAGATAGATAATAACTGTAGTGTTTACACTATTGTGATAGTTGAACTGGTACGCACAACGGACCAATTACGAGTCTAATTGCGGAGAAAGGAGTCCTACTACTACTAGTTGAACTGGTTAAAGAAATGCAAAATAAAAAAAACCTTCAATAGACGTAAATGAAAGAAATTTCAATGAATGTAAATGAAAAATCAATGTAGGTACATAAAAGAGAACTCTCTAGGCAGGAGCGCTACTGAGTAGCGATCGCACAATTCTAGAACGTGCGTACTTGCTATCTCTTTCGCACACTGCTCCATCGTACGGCGTTCTAGAGTGCTCGGTCTAGCTTCGAGAAGGTTCCGATCTTCCCTCTCTCTCGTGTATCATACCGTCCCTGTCATACCTAGAATATTCCTTCATCAAAGGGGTATAACCAGGCCTGAAAACGGGTTTCCTGTAAAGTGTACCACTCGACTACACTTGTACTGAAACTGCCTGAAAAAAATTCAGCCTCATGAAAACTAGGGTAAGTTTCTGTAAATTAAAATTTTCTAATATAATCACATATTAGATTAACCATCTCCTGAAACGGTCAGAAATCACATTTCGGCGTGCTGAAAAGTTCTCATAAGCGGGCTATAGACGGACCGCATCTTTAAGTCAAGACCGACTGCAACATGCGGTTTGCTCAGGAACTGCTCGAGCGGTCCGTGTATTGCGAATATGAATTTAGTATGGAAACTGCAGATCGCCGAGCGGCGACCGCTTAGAGCAGTCGATATCGGCTGCAACATGCGGTCCGTCTATGGCCCGCTTAAGTAGTGGAAAACATCGAGAAACATTGCAGTCAAATGTCAGTCAGTAAAAAAGTCAGTGCAAATAAGAAATTAAGAACTTGGAGGAGAATTTATATCTCTGTAATCCCAACACACTTAAATGTACCGGGTGGTAATACAACTAGACGTTTCTAAATCACAACAATTTATACTGACGGTTCATTTTCGCTTGGCAAACTGAAGGACCTATAGAAAGGCCGTTAAAGGGAATAACTCGTGCTAAGAGTCTAAAGTCGGCTTGATTCAATGACCTCGGCTTGCCTTTCGGCGCGGCCACAACTGGTGCCTGAAGAAATAGTACGTAATATACTTTAGTGTCTAGAATTGCTTTCATAAGAACATTATTCAATAAGACGACAAAAGGAATATCTTGCTAACAGTTTGACTACGAGAGCTATGCACTACAACGGAATCCACTGCCGCAGCCGACACTGGTAAAGAAGCTGCGCCATCCAGCTACGCAGCGTCTGTAGTCTGTAACTTTCAGTAGCGGTACAGAAAGTATGCAATTTTGATATAATTCTCTCATTCAAAAACAGAACATTTAAGTCGAAATCATAATAAATAAAAAAAAACAAGAATAACAAAATTGTTTTAATTTAATAACTATCCGCATTGTCGTATCTAAATGTATGCGCGGGAACTCCTCGGCTGCCAGTATTCTTTATTGTAAAGATGGCGCCTGCAAACGGTTCGATGACGTCTTTTTCTCGGCCCGTGGTGACATAAAGTTCGTCTAAATCGGGGCCTCCCCAGCAAAGAGAGGTTGTTCGTACACCCGGCAGCTTGTATCCATATATAACTTGTCTTGCTTCAGGGTCTATGTGCAGTATCTGGGTGAAAAATAAGTGATGAAATCGGCGCGTTTAGGAACTTTAAAGTGCGAACAAAACTAGGTTTTATGTACAATGCCGAAGATCAAGATAGATTCTTAATGTACGAACTTAGTAACTTAAAACTAGTAAATATTTTAACAATATAAGTACTTAATATAAATTAAATATATTATGTAATTTAAGTGCATCAAATTCAAATCTAAAACAAACACTCAAACAAAGTTCAGACTAGATTACGAGGCATTTGTGTAAATTAATCTATATAAACCGATTTCAAAATACAATTGTGAAAATACTTACAGTTCCTCCAAACATAAGAGCGACCCACAAGTGTCCATTACTGTCGATTGTCAAGCCATCCGGTATTGCATCATCGTATCCATAGGTTGTTATGTCCAAAATTGTTCGTCTGCCACCTTTTATGCGCAATAATATTAAGACTAGACATGGTACAAGATCAGACGAAATTGATTTTTTTAGGCCCTATGAGAATGATCACTTGACCATCGTTATTGACTATAGTTTTATATAGCGACAGCAAATCACGGCAACGGAAGTTCTATGCCTCAAGACCCTGTGCGGTAGGTCTAATACCAATTTACCTATTATGTATACAGAGAACGGGCAACCTCATATATTGTTACTCGCCTTGTTAATTGTTTACCGACAAACCTGAAAATAACAACCTAATATTGCAAGGGTACCCTTAAAGGGTGACCAACCTCGGATGTGATAACTTGGCTCTATAAATTTTATATAGAAGTAATTATTATGTAAGGTTTGAAAATGTTCTTTTGCTCTCTGCTTATTGTAATATTTTCGTTACATTTTTTAACTGTTTAGTTCTCAAGGACTTTAAAGAAATTTGTATTGTGGTGTAGTGGTGGCTTTAAGGTGTTTACTGTACTTTTACATTATTTATAATATTTAAGCAATAGTAATTTAAAAAAAACTAGTGGGAGTTTTAATTAATTAAAAATATTCTAGTTAAAAATTTTAAAAGTACGATAATAAGATTTATGTTTGTAATTATTAAGTCACATAAAACGACGGTGCTGATACGTCATTTGTCCAATAAAACGTACACCTTACCTTTACAATTAATTAAAACTGATGATTTTGCTAATAATATCAAATCTGAAAGTACTCACTAATTTCCCCTCTCTGTGCGTCATAATCAAACGCCTCAATCTTTTGAGTAGCCGAATCGACATAGTACATAATAGTATTATTAAGTGAAAATGCCAATCCGTTAGATATAGAAACCGGGCGAAGGACAACGCGTGGTTGGACGTAACCCTCTTGATCCGGTTCAAAACTATACAGAGTTGCCTTGTCGGGTTGTACGTCATCACCTACTTGTGGGCCTTTAGTACCTGATGAGGGAAAAATATATCGTATAAACACATTACACACTTATTGATCGAACCCTGGATTTTGCTTGCTTTTGCTAAAAAAATTATTAGGCTCAAGAAATTTGCTTCCATTTAGTGCACGAAAATGAGAACTAAAGATTATGCTTTATCTAAACCTGAGAAAAACCACAGTTTAATTGGTTTCTTACCACCCCAAAATCGTCCTTCGCCATCCGGCTTTCCTTCATTTATTACATTATCAGGTAGGCCTTGGTCCACCGTAGTTAGAAGCCTCAAAGCTGCATCACCCGATACATTCCAATCGAGCAAGTATAACGCGGAACGAACCGCTACTAATAACCTTCGAGAACCGGCTACTAATGATACTATATTCACTTGACCGTAATCTAAAAAAATTATTATTATTATTAATACTGTTATTGTAATAAGTTAAAGAGGAACTTTTCCAAGAGTAAAGCTATGATAAACATGGAAGGAACTAGACAACAACAACTACCTGTAGTTATAATACCACGATATCTATCTTGAGTACAAAATTTCACTGAGATGTGAAAGTCAAGCTGACGTCGAGAGACGTGTTTCGCAGGTAAGGGCAGCTTTTGGAGCGAATGCAGAGACAGTTCACTCAGTGAGTCATGCCTGTCTGGGGGCGTCCATAAATTACGTGAGGTGTTTTTTAAATTTTCTGTACCTCCCTCCCCCCCTGGTGAGATGTCGTGAGATTTTATTCAACCCCTTCCCCATCCCCCAATCTCACGTGAGATTTTTCAAAATGTGGGTTTCTTACGTAAACGCGTTGGATTGTTATTGTAAAAAGAAAAAAAAATTTGCTTCGTCCTTTTATTTACGATGGTAGGTATGGAGTTAGCGGGAAGTTGCAGAGATGGCCTTTAGGGTCAACCGTTTTCCTAAGTTTTTTTTTTCAATCAGAAAAAAAATTGCGTGATATTTGCCGAGACCCCCCCTCTCTCCAACGTAAGATTAAATGAGATTTGACTCGACCCCCTCCCCCCCCTTAAATACCTCACGTAATTTATGGAGCCGAAACCATAACGCTCACACAACGCACGGAAAGCCTGAGAGTCGAGCAACGGGTGCTGAAGCGGACCAAAAAGAGGCTGATGATCATGATGATGAAAATAAAAATCTTTAATCAAACTGCTCTGAATTTACATCAAACTGCTCTGAATTGCTCATATATGTATAAAAGAGAACGTTTGTTCATTGGAAGCAAACGCAAACTTAATTTTTTCTTTTCTAATTACAGTGTAAATTTTCGCTTAATTCTAATTATATCTGTTTTTAGGTAACATAAAGTCATGCCATTTTATGATTAATTAAGATATACATACCAATATGTTTAGTGTACAATTTCTTTGTGGAATAATCATAGCGGTGCACGTTTTGACTGTGCACGTCTACAAAGAATAGTGATTGCGTATCAACATCCCAAACTGGACTCTCGGCGTGCGCGAATATTGCCGGCTTGTCATTAACATATATCTGATGAATTTTAATTATCTTTGAAAAATATTTGTCGAAAATGAATCTAAGAATATTTTATTAGCCTGAACAAATGTACTAGCTTTTCAAAAAAATCCGAAACCAATTTGTGCCTTTAAACATGACGTTACAATTATAATCTCGACTTAACTATGTCAAATTTAAAATATGATTGAAATTAAGAAGGAATTATCTTGCTTAGATATACCATATTAACTAATAAATAAGAACATGGTAATGGTCTATATTAATATTGATAAAATCTGCTCAGACGATAGTAAAACAAGTTATACTTACTGGGGCCATTTTATAGAATGATTTATTATGCTTTTTCGCCTGTGATGTCATTATGAGGGTCGATAGTATAAATGCTCGAACAAAATTTGTTAAAAAATTCTCCATTATAAATATATGAATAAACAATTCACTCAAGAACCGATCCTGTTGATTAAAAACCGATTACTAGTAACAATGAATGCTGCGATATTTTTCTTTTGAAACAATGAGGAAAACGTATGAATGGATGACAAAAAAGAAAGTTTCTTACTATCGTAGTTTTTTATTTCATACTTTAGTCACATTTACAGTTTTTAACCACTTCCTTTCAAAATATCGAACTTTCTATAAAAAAAAAATCTACCATATTACATAAAATATTATAATTATTTGACAGATCTTAAAGAGTAAAGTATATGTAAAAAGATGTATACAATTCACCTTACCATAAGAAAATTACTTACTAGTTAAATTTAAAACAACTTAGCTGTTCTGAAATATAAAAGCACGTATTTACTTAGTTTGATTATTTGATCAAACTAAGTTATAAGTTACTATAAATTACGAAATGTATAATTTCTAAGTTTTATTGGGTTACCCCAGATTGTTAATAACCGTTAATATTTTGTTTGTTGTTTCATTGTTAATACCAATAATATTATCAATAACTCACTCAAAGGTCATATTATCAATATTTTCATGCGACCAAATGTATTTCCACTAACATTTACGCTTTAAAACGCTTTTTTATAGTTACGAAGAAACTTATTTCTAAGTGAATCTAATGTGATTAACTGCATTTGAACTAATCACCTCTGTTGATAAGAAATTAACGATGTTTTAAAGTTTAATCTTGTAATTATGTGAATCATGATTTATTCGTTTAAATACGTGTTTACAGCTCTACATTTTCAATAAACTACTGTTTTCATAAGAAAATTTTGCTACTTTAAAAACTAATAATCAAATGTAAAGAATTATATGTATGAATCTATCCAGTGTTTATAAATTTATTATAAAAATTAAATTTTAGCTTTACCGTTAGCTCGAATACGCACAATCGAATAGTTAAACTAACTGAAAATTATTATATTGAACAGTGCTCCGTGCTCAATTAGAACAAAACTAAAGCAGAACCGTATGTTTGCTTTTGAATAGTATTTATTAACTATACCAAATGGAAAACGCTGTTTTGCCTGGAGCTAAGTGGGTTTCGGGGATTCACCTTATGTTTAAGAAAATAGACTACTCAATAGAAAAAAATATAATTGAAAAGAAATTACTATAACTAAATTTTTCAGAATTATTTTAAGTATAGATTGTATGTATTATGTTTATATTAGGGTTGTTTTGAAGATGCAATTGAATATTTCAACAATATCAAAAATTTGTCATAAGAACTGAAAATATGAAAGAAAAGACGTGACAAAAAAAATCCTGAGAATAGATACTTAATGCGATAGTACAAATACGTGTCGTTAACAATACAACAATATGTTGTGTCATGTAATGTTTGTTTTAGGGTATAAATAAATACACATAAACTATAGAAAATGAGTGGCCTCATCTTTAATATAGATAAAAACACAGAGTAAATTTAGTTACCATGTTGCCATGGTTACGAGGTTTTTCAATAACCATGGTAACAAATCACGTATCCGCGTTATAACAAAACCGATTATATGATAACCGATGTTAGACGCAAAGTAGTAGATTTGTACATCTATTTAGAACTTGTATAGTATTAATTTAGGCGTATTTTATGCAACTATCTAGTGTAAGAAAAATGTGTTTTTTTGTTGTAGTATAAACACCGTAATGTAACTGTATTGTGATATAAATATAGATTTTTCGACTGAAATGAAATATAACCATAAAAAAGACGCTAAAACCATCTTTCAATATGAAGGTTTATTAAAGACAACAACTCGATTAAAACGTATTTAATGATCACAATAATCAAATATAGTTACGACTAAATATTTGTTTATTTCTTGAACCTTTTAAAATGGGTGAGTGGAGTGGTTTATACTCCATTGCTTCCTTTCTCAAAATATTAAGCTATCAATTAAAGCGTAAGTGCTACACTTATTTCTATTCTAAATAAAATAATCATAATTGCTAGGCGTATAAGAACTAGGAGTACAGCTTATATAACTTAAGGGTGATGATGAGGAGCTGGTTGATGGGGCGGCTCGTGCCCCGTTTCAGTTGGGGGCGGTCCTACTGTAACTCCCGGAACCCCGGGAACTCCCGGTACTACTCCTGGGACGGGAACGCCGACTGGTGCCCCGCCGCTTTCCGCTTGTAACCTGTTGAAAATATTTAGTACATCAAGTCAAAACTGAAATAAACGTTAATAAACTAAAGACTATACGATACGATAAAAAAATATGTTTATTATGGAATATAAGATACAGGTATCACTTATTCCACGTCATTAAATTTGAATCTGTAGGCATCCCTACTCATCGACAAAGGCAGAGGGTGTTGGCCGAGAGAAAAAGCCGGCGTAAAAAACTCTCGGTACTCTTTTAAAATCGCAAATCATCAAATAAAATTTATTTTAAAACAAATATCGCAAATTAATTAGAAGTAGCCTGTCTAGCACTAGTCCCAGGCCCTTTTATCAACTAGATAATCGTTAACTTAGGCTATTTCAGATGGCAAAACTTGACGCGCGTTTTCAAATCGCGCGACCAGAAATTGTGGTATTTTCATACAACTGTTCACATGAGCGCGCGTTAACGCGCCTCAACGCGGCCAGAAAAAAGTTCAGACGCAGTACCACTGACGTTATATTAATGTAATGTCCGTTTGTGTTCAGATGAGCGCGCGCCATCGCGATCGCATGTAATTTTGTTAATTTTCGTAATTATATTTTGTTCTCGCATTTAAAATGAGAAATTGAAGATACTGACATCGACTTACTAATCGATGAAGTAGAAAAAAGGTCACAGTTGAATATAGCAAATTTGTATAAAAATATAATATAATTTGTATTTTTTTCAAAATTGATGAACCCAATTGTACGTTTTCTTTTTCTATAAATTTCTTTATAATATAACCACAAAATAATAGCCTCTTCCACGTCCATTTTCTACGTTCTACCGAACTAGACTGACGAGCACTCTCGCAACGCGTTAGCGCTCATCATTGAACGCTCTTCAATTTTGATCCCGTACGCGTTACATTGAACATAGCCTGATAGTAAGTTTTTTACACAGCTTTCTTAAATTTATTAAAAGGCAGAGATAAAAGAGCCTCTGGGATTTTATTAAAGAAGAGTATCCCTTTTCCCAAAAAATAATTACTAACTTTCGATAGTCTAGTACGGGGAAATTGCAGCCTGCGTTTGTTCCGAGTATTAACATTATGCGTATGTTCTATTCTAGTAAACTTATCACTATTTTTGCATACATACATAATATTTTCATAAATATAATACGAGGGAAAGGTAAGTGTATTAATTTCCTTGAATTTATCGCTCAGAGATTCCCTACATTTTAAATTATAAATTGCAAGACAAGCCCTCTTCTGCAGGATGAAAATAGTTTCGACATCAGAAGTATGACCCCATAATAATAAGCCATACCAGATACATCATACATTTTTTACTATTATGAAAATGATATACATGTAAAGAAATAATTATATTTTTTTTAGATTGTTAATTATCTGTCATGTGTCGAAACTGACGTTTTATTTAATTGTAATTTTGAGTTTGTTAGTCTGTGGAGTTTTGCTTAAATTGTCACTTGAATTTTTACAAGGAGCATTTTTTTGTTAGAACATTTTCGGATTTTAATTAGGAATTAGATTAAAATAATTGTTTTAAAGATCTTACATTTGCAATTATTGGTTATTATTAAATTTAGCAGAATTGTCTAAAATAATTTTGTATCTATAATTTATTTATTACATATATTTGCTCACTGTTGCTAAATACGTCTTATTTCAGTATTTGTTAGTATAGTTATGAATGCTGTGTTTGCCTGCCTCTTAAAGTGTGTGCAATTACTTTAAAATTAAGATTTATTGTAATGCCTATTTAATCAAATGTTACGAGGTTATATAAATTTACCTCTGAATGGCGTGGTTTCTAGCGCGGAACTCGGCCGCCTTTAACTGTTCCAAATGGAACTGCTGCCTCTCCTGGATCAGCTGCTGTCGTTGATATTCTAGACCTAGAAGATTTAAAAAAAGTTATAAACGAAACTTGTTTAGTATGCAAATATAATACTGTTAATTATACCATACTAGTAACTATTCGATAAATTTATATTCACAATAAATATTACTTTACAATTTTTTTTATAGGTCGATGCAACCTGATGTTAAGTGATACTGCAAATCTCACAATGCCAGCAGGCGAGTGCGCCGCCGGCCTTTTATCATTATTAGTTTATTTTGAGCTGACATTAAAACCTTTTTAACTTCCGATATACTTTTACAATTAACAGAACAAGAGAATATAAAGCACTTGAAACTTTGGGAATTTATGTTACAATAATAATAAATAAATATCTATTTAATTTTTTATCAAAGCATACCTTCTCTTTCCCGCTCCATAGTCGCCTCCAGCTCTTCAAAGTGTCGCAACTTTATCTCCAACTTTTTCATCTGCGTCTCCACGAGAAGAGCCACAAGTGACTTGATCTTCCGCTCTTCGACGCCCGCGAGATGTTTCGCCTTAACCGCCGCAGCAGCAAGTGCTGCAGCCGCAGCGGATTGCAATTTCGCGTCTACCGCTGCTGGTGGGTCTGTATAGTTGTATAGTGAATAAAGTACTTGTACGAGAAGTGCAACAAAATGCTAGTACAATTTATTAATTGTAATACGTTAAATTGTAAGCAGTACGTTGAGTTCACAATCTTTCGACAGTCTCAAATCACAATCTCACGAGATAGATTACAATCTAACGGTGTTACAATTTTACGGTGACATATACACTAATAAGTAAGGGTAATTACCCTGCGCAGGCGGTGTCTCTTCTTCCTTGATCTCCTTTTCTTCTGCCGGTGGCGCTGCCTCTGCTTCTTCCTTAACCTTTCCTTCTCCACTTGCCTCCC